TCTGGGCGGAAGAGGAAGTGAGGTCAGACTCTGCTCTGCTCCCGGAGAGACCCAACAGCTCTGCTCTCTGGAGCAGAGACACCAGGATGGACGGAGGCTAGACTCTTCCCGGTAAGCGCACCTTGGGGTGCTTACACACATCATTAGAAATGGGCTAGTCCAGATGCGAGAATTAGCCTGTAAGGGCTAGAGTTCATGGGCCAAGCAGTTCTTAAATGAATACAGTTTGTGTGTTGTTATTTTGGGCATAAGCTAGCCAAGCGGTCGGGGTGTTGGGGACGCAGCCCCGCCACTTCCTATTTCAACATGGATGATACATTTTAAAACTTTTAATCTCCCTCAAATGGAAATTTCTGGATACTAGGAGGTAAAAACTAATCCAAAGATTTAATACTCTTCTTTAATTCTTGTCAAATAAAATCTATATACTACTTTAGCTGCTTCAGTAACTGTGTGAAGGTAGAAATCTATAATGATTCAAATGTTTTGGATCTCTGAGCTGTGTATGCCTGGTTGTTAGCTTAGTGTATATTATGGAAGAGTTCCCTGAACCTGCATTGAACCTCTAGAGGGAATTTTCAGGTTATGATTGCAAGAAATTGAAGAACATTTCTGAATAGTGACTTCAGGGAAATCTCAATGATAGAGTTGGGTTTAAGTGCACACAGTGAAAGTTACTCAAACTTTCTGCCTACTACACAGTCTTTTTAGATGTCCACTATGGTGAATAAATCTCTGTCCTATTTTCACTTGCTTTATTTGGGAAAGACAAACGCCACATGGAATCATTTGGATATGTTGTTCTTTCTCTCCTAGTACCTACATGGGAAGTGTCCAATAACTTTGGGTTAAATTCTTTCTCATAAATAGAAAGCATGTTTGCTTGGTAACAATCAGGAAGTCCAGGCCCCAGGCCCCCTTAAACAACAGCCTACAATATTCATTCAAAATGTAACAATGGATGGAGAAAAACTTAACCAGAGAGGTTGCTTCTTGTTTAGTTTTTATAATTCAAGCAACACAAAGAAAGTTCCCAGTAAATATGTTATTTGAGTTCCTCTGGATCTTCAGAGTAGTGTTTATTATGTCCAATAAATAGCTCCAGTAAGCGGAGTGTGTGGTGCACACCTTTAATTCCAGCACTCAGAAGGCAGAGGCAAGCAGAATTCTGTGAGTTCGAGGCTAGCCTGATCTATAGTGTGAGTTCTAGGACAGGACAGCCAGGACTATTGACACAGAGAAACCCTGTCTCGAACCTGCTCCCCTGCCCCACAAAAAAACAAAAACCAAAAACCAAAAAAACCCCAAACTCAACCAACCAACCAAACAAAAACGAAGTAGCTCCAATGAATATTTACTTCCTTTTCTCCTAGGTTCTCCTAACTGTGAAAATTTTATCCTTACCAAGTGTGATGGTTTCATAACAGATAACAGTCCACTTTTTGGACTTAATTGTGAAATGGTAAGTAATGCTTTGATTTTTCAGAGCACGTTGCAAACTATAGTGTAAGACGATTTCATGAATTCAATGCACCAGTAAACCCATGCCTTTTGACTTTTAGTTTAAATAGCTGAAAGTGCCCCCTTTTTAAAAAATTTGGATCTATATTACAAATGAAAGATTAGTTTTAAGTTTTCTAAGTAGTTTCTGTGTTTAATCATGTTTTTAACACCAGAAAAAAATGGGGTTTTTTTTGAAGAAATATTCTATTCTGTGGCTGCCATGAAGACTCTGCCTTAATTACTATGGGTTTAGGTTTTGCACATTGAAAATTAGAAATAGGATTTCCCTGCTAATTTAGTAATTCTTCCAAAGACAAGTACATCCTTTCCCTGCAGTACTTGCAAATAGTTTTGATTCTTGTTAGTTTGTATACTGGCCTTGCCTGTTAATGACTGTCCCTAACCCCTCTCTGCCTTAGTTTCTCCTTCTATGAAGTGGATAGTAATTAAGGCTATGCTATATATTTAGAGTGTGCTTAGTAAAAGTGGTGGTTCTTAGCTGTAGTGATGAGTAATACATAGTCTGTCGATGATAGATACAATTTTATTAGTACTATTATCTTCATTCAAAAATAAGTAAAACAAGATCTCCTTGTATAGCTCAAGTTGACTTTGAACTTTTGATCTTGCCTTAGCCTCCCTAGCCATTCACCATTTTCCAGAGCAAGTATTGCCATTGCTTCTAGTAAACATGGTGTTCAGCAAATACCAACTTCAGTTTCATTCATACTGGATCCTTTCGTAAACAAGCATCTTTGCTGTGCTGGCAGGAATTGTAGCTGAGTGTAGGTGCTTGCTGATACAGTGTACATATTAAGGGGGAGTTAACAGCTTCTGCAGTTTAGCAGTATTTTGTCTTCTAGTGCCTTACATCCAAGGGGAGAGAATTAACACGCATCTCATTGGTTGCTGAAAGAGGCCATTGCATTATGGATGAACTGGTCAAACCTGACTTCAAGATTCTGGACTCCTTTACTAGGTATTCTTTTCATTGTTGTTTTTTGTTTTTTGAGACAGGGTTTCCCTGTGCAGCCCTGGCTGTCCTAGAACTCACTCTGTAGACTGGGCTGGCCTTGAACACACAGAAATCTGCCTACCTCTACCTCCCAAGTGCTAGGGTTAAAGTTATGTACCACTATACCTGGCTAATTTTAGTCTTAATAATTTTTATATTTCCAAAGATTATCATAAAACTTCAGAAGTACATGGTGATTAAACAAAGTAAAAAACAGTGAAACATTATTTTTGGTGACTGAAGTTGTACCCATGTATTCATGTTTACATAGGCATAGAGAACTAGAGAGACCATATTAAAGATATAGGCTGTTCTACTAGAGGGCTGATAATTATAAATAGTATTTCTAGGAAATAGTCATATGCAGCAAAAAGATATATAAAATCATTTTGTCACAGTATTGTAAAAAGGTGAGAATATATATGTCTTTTAAAAAGACGATGCAAATGTCAAGTTAGAAAATGTTTTTAAACAACTTCAAAGTAGAATACTCTTACCATTTAAAAGGATATGATTAAATTCATTTATTGACATTCATATGTAATCACAAAACAACATGTGAAATATATCTATAAATATATACATACCAAAAAAGTGGAAGGATATTTACTAAAATGGAAAAAATATAACCTTTGGATAATGAAGTTATGGCTCTTTATTATTATTATTATTATTGGTGTTTGTTTTTGAGATAGTTTTTTAATTCTAACATCTCTCCTCCCCTTTCCTCCCGCTCTGCTCTTAAACATTCTTGGCCTCTTTTCTGCATCAATTGTTACTGATGCATGCGTATATGTATTTGTATATACATACAAATTCTCAAATATAACCTGTTGAGTCTATATTATGTTACTTGTAAGTATTTTTTCAGGGTTGTCTATTTGTCACTAGACAACCAATTCATTAGCTTTTCCCTGGACAGGGCCACCTCTTACACTCCTGTAGGCAGTGTTTTCTGTGTCTCTGTAGTCATTCCCAAATAACTGCAAGAGACTTAATATTAATTATAAGTGATTAAGCAATAACTTAGGCTAATTTCCAGGTAGCTCTTACAACTTAAATTAACCCATTTTTATTAATCTATATTCTGCGTTACCTCTTTTTGATTTCAACCTCCTGTTTCCTCTCCATGTCTGGCTAGCAACTTCTCTGACTCTGCCCTTCTTCTTCCTAGTGTTCTTGTCCCTGAAAATCCTGCCTAGCTAGCGACCAATCAGCTTTTTATTACCAATGAGAGCAGTACATGTTTTACAGTGTACAAAGATTCTTCCACAGCACATCCTCAGCTTTCCTCATTTGTCTTTTATGTAGGGTTGAGCCCTCATTGTCTTTTCCCCATGCAGTTTGGCGTGTTCATTGGTGCCTTCTTGTTAAACTCACATTTGGGCAGTCACGTTGGTGAGACTTTTGTGGGTGTAGCTTCTGACATCACTCAGAGATGCATTCTCACAGCAAAGTCCCTGGTCAGCTCTTACAATCTTTCTGCCCCTCGCCCTCCACATGTTTCCTGAGCCTTAGATGTGGGAGTGTTCTGTCGATATATCCATTGGGATTGGATTCCACAACTCTGCATTTTGACTGGTTGTGGTTTTCTGTAGTGGTCTCTATTTCAAAGTTTCCTTGATTAGGGGTGAAGACTATACTTCTCTGTGGGTATGAGGACAAATATTTTTACATTGTTTTTAGGGATTATGCTAGCTTAGTAAATTAGTGGTTGTAGATTCTCCCCTAATAACTGTGATATCACTGTAGCTAGGTTTCTAGCACCAGGCATGATCTCCTTCTTGTTGAGTGGGTCTTAAGTCCAATTAGAGAGGTTAGAGAGGAACTGATAGCCACCATAGTCTGTACAGCACTACTGCACCCATAGGGCTATCCTGCCATGCTGCTTGTTGATGTGATCCACATGCACCATAGCACAGTAGGACGGTTGGTTGCCTTTTTCCTTTGGAAGCTTGCATGCACCTTCTGGTACCATGAAATCTAGTCCTCAGGGAGGGGGATTCAGATCAGTTCCAGCTCAGGGGCTTCTGGGCCCTGTTTCTGAAGTGCATGGTGTCTTCAGCCATAGGGACTTACCTTCTACCTCAGGGAGTAACCAAGGGCAAAAGCAGTAGGCTGTATGTCATGGGAGTCTCTTAGACAGCCTTGGCTAACAACTTAAAAGAGGGCTTCTCATGTCTAGCATTGGCGTTTTTGTTAGGTGCCCTCTTTGACTCTTGGAGAGAGCACCTTCAGGCCAAATGAGAAAAGTTATATTTGTACACTGAATTTTGTTCACTATAGGTTGGTTGGTTTGATTGTTTTTTTAGGTAAATAATTAATACGTTGGTTCTTTGTGACCTTTTCAGCTGTCCATATTGTTATTTTACCTTCCTTCTCCTCCCTAAGGAGCCCTTCCTTTCCCGTTTCCCTTATCAGATCACTTATATCCTCTTTACTCTCTTCCCATTCGTTTTTGTATTCACCTCCTTTCCCTTCTTTAAGGAGTCCTCTGCATTTTATTACCCTGTTCAGATACTTGCACCCTGCTATTACCCTTTGTACTGACAGTGGTCTTGTTTTACTCTCCTGGTTTCTGCAGTTACTACAGGGTATGTACTCACATCTGAAGATTTGGAACTAGGAGCTTCCAATAAGAGAGACTGGAGTGATTTTCTTTCTGAGTCTGGGGAACCGCACTTAATATGATATTTTCTGGGTCCATCCACTTATCTGTAGAGTTCATGATTTTGTTTTTCTTTACAGCTGAGCAGTATTCCATAGTGAATGTGTACCACATTTTCATTATCTATTTGTCAGTAGTAGGACATGTAGGTTGTTTCTATTTCCTAGCTACTGTAAAGACAGCAGCAGTGAACATGGCTAAGCAAGTATTAGTGGAGTAGGATATCAAGTCCTTTTGGTATATTCCAAGAAGTGGTATAGCTGGGTCATATGGTAGATTGATTTTTTAGCTTTTTGAGAATTCTCCACACTGGTTTCCACAGTGGCTGTAGCAGTTTGCAACCCCATCAGTGAATGGGAATAAGGGAAGCTTCCTTTCCCCACATCTCCTCCAGTATTTGTTGTCCATTGTTGGTATTTGCTATTCTGCCTGGGGTAAGATAAAATCTCAAACTTATCTTGATTTTATTTTCCTAATTGATAGGATAGATGAACATTTTTTAAGGTATTTTTCTTTTGAGAACTCTCTATTCAGGTCCTAGGCCAATTTTTTTTTTTTTTAAATGGGTCATAGTTTTGTTGGTTTGGTTTGATTTGGTTTAGTTTTTTTACTCTTTTTTTTTGAGTTCTTTGTATATTTTGGATATTAAACCTTTTCTAGATGTATAGCTGGCAAAGACTCTCTCTTATTCTATAGGCTTCTTCTTCACCCAGTTGATTGCTTCTTTGGCTCTGCAAGAGCTTTTTAGTTTTATAATGTCCTGTTTGTCAGTTGTTAACCTTAATTCTTAGGCAAATGGAGCCTTCTTCAGGAAGTTCTTTCTTACATTTACATCATATACAGTATTGCCCATGTTCTGTAGAAGTTTATGATGGATTTTTTTTTAACTTCTCTGCTTATTTGGATCTTCAGCTTTTTTTCTGTGATTGGTATATATTAAGTATAATTTTTCAAAACGTGTCTTTGGAGAAAAGCTGATATTTTAGTCTCTCTATTTCTCTTTATGAAAAGTTTTTCAGGAATCACGGAGAAGATTCTTAACCCAGTGCCAACCAAACTCAAAGATGTACAGACACTCTTAAGACAGCTGCTTCCTCCTGACGCTGTGTTAGTGGGCCATTTCCTAGACTCGGATCTCAGAGTTTTAAAAGTGTGTATATTCTTTAAGACCTTATTCTCTAATAGAAAAGTGTGTTCCATTTATCTAAGATGTAAAGACTGGGAATTTTAACTCCTAAACCTCTTCCCTGTTTTTTTTTTTTTTTTTTTTTTAGCATAAGGTGCTATTTATTCATTATTTTTCCTCCTCAGATGATACACCCATATGTTATTGATACCTCGCTGCTTTATATCAGGAAACAGCACAGAAGATTTAAGCTAAGATTCTTAGCCAAAGTTATTTTGGGGTAGGTTTATACATGTTTTGGTGTTGTCCTGGTATATTGTACATAAATTAATATGTATTATCCAATCCAGTCTTGGTTGTCTCTCTCAATTTATAAACACAACTCCCTCTAATTCTTATGAAGTAAAGAAATTAAGGGAATACAGTTGAACCTCACAGGGTAGGCATGTAATCTCAGCTATTTTGAAGATGGAGGTAGGAGATTCTAAAGTTCAATGATTTCCTAGTCTCTAAAGTGATTTTAAGGTTATCTTGAGCAATTTAGTGAGACCTTCTCTAATTATGAAAAGTTTAAAAACAAATGTGTTTTGGTGGCAAGATGACTCAATAGGGAACAAACCTTATGACATATGTTCTATCCCTGGGAGAACTAACTCCTATAAGTTGTCCTCTGCTCAACCACACACACACACACACACACACACACACACACACACACACACACATTGTACACTCCCCATACATAAATGTAATTTTAAAAATTTTTTAAAGGAAGTTGTGACAGAACATTTACATATCATTTGTAAGACCCTATATTCAGCCCCTAGTACCATGGAATTTCAAAGTGTAGCATACTTAAATTGAATATGTCTTGTAGTCTTGAAGCATATAAGTGCATGTTCATTATAACATGGTTCAAAATGGAAAGAAAATTGTAGAGGACTGATTAAGTTATGGTTATTTATTATTCAAAGGAATATGATAGATCTGTATATGCTAAGATGGAAAACCCTAAGATATTACTTAGAATAAAATAGAGTTGCTGAGTAGGATCTATATATAGATATTGATCAACATAAATATATGTGTATTTAAGATTTTTCATAAACAACCAAGAAAATTATTTAAATGTATAGATATTTGCATATGAATAAAAATCTTCTGGAAGGAAACCTTTAACTGATACAGCTAAGAGTGGGCCTGATCTTGGCTAATCTTTGATTCCTGTGGTGTACTTCTGTGATCAGAGCCATCCCATGTTGTCTGGATGTGCAGCACCTCTCTTGAGGCCTGGCAGTTGAGCAGAGAAAGGGAATCTTGATAGTTGTAGTACAAATCTGATTGTTAACAATGGTGAAACTTTTATACTGTCGTTAAAAGAAATAATCATTAAAAATATCCCCATATATACATTTCATCTTCATTTCTAGGAAGGATATACAGTGTCCAGACAAGCTTGGTCATGATACCATAGAAGATGCTAGAACAAGTCTTGAATTAGTTCGGTATTTTCTTAAGTATGGGCCAAAGAAGGTTAGTATCTTTGACCAGTCCCTTTGGCTTTCTTAATATTATGAGACTGGATCAGACATCCATAGATCATTATTTCTGTTCCTACCTTTCCGTACAAAACTAGCAATGTGGTTAAGATTAAAATTAAGACCCATATCACTAACATATTGACAAAGTATATAATAAAGTCAACTTTTGAGTGTTGACTATAGAGTTTCTAGTTATATCAACTGGCAGTTGCTCTGAATAACTTGTTTCTAAATCTGTAAGATGGAAATACGTAGTTTGCTTGGATAGTATTGAGGGCAGATGACTAAATATAAAGCTGTTGATGATGATCATCGAACTAATACTGTTTATGGTAATTAGTTTGTTCTCTAGGAATAGGTGCACATTCCATTGTTTGAGCAGCAGTTCAGTGGATATAGATTTGAAAAGGACAGTTTCAGAAAGACTTTGTGAAATGATTTTGTTGGTGGTTTTCTTGAGGCACTGTCTTGCCTGTAACTTACTATGTAGATATGGCCCAGACTGGCTTCAAATTTATGGTCATCATACTACCTCTTCCTTCCAAGTGCTAGGATAAAAGGACCTGTAGGGACAAAAATGTGGGGACAGAGTTTCGGTTGAAGGTAAACTGAAAAGAGAAAGGTAAGATAAGTAATCAGATAATAGTAAAACCCTGTCTCTTTGGAGGCTGCACCAGACAGACCCAGCAGACCAGCTCAGCTCCTTAGGAGAGGAGAATGAAAAGGGAAAGAGTAAAGAAGGGGGAAAATAAGCAGTAGAAGAGAAAACTAAGCAGGTCCCGGCTGTCATGCCAAATTGATACTGAGTATTAAATAAGGGTGAGATGAACATGCGGGGAGAGAGTCAGATGGGGATATAGAATATGTGAACTCTGATGGCTGGGGTTCAATTTTGAATCACATTTCTTGGCTCTCAGAAACCCATGCCACCTGTGCTTGTTCCTCTGTGATAGGAGGTCCTATTCTCCTCTAGTCTTTCTTTAGATGATTGGATTACAGGACTAGTTCTGTCTGCAGGCAGTACTTCACAAGTGGAATTGCAAATGCTAGGAATACCTCTGTGTGTTCTTTCAATGTTGGGCTTGTGACTTACGATTGATTCCACCCCTATATAATCCTTCCACTGTCCAGCGGGCTGCTTGGAGTCTTAGCTGTCTGTGAGGACACTGTATGAAGTGCTGTCACAAAATTCCCCTGATGGATATAGTTCCTTACTACTTTGTCCAGGGTGGAGGATACTGAGCTTCAGACTCACTGCACCACTGTGCTTTCTCCACAGTCTGCAGCCTGAGCTCTGTTGCTCTGATCCAGATGCTGCATCTTGTTCCAGATTATGCCCAGTGCTCTTCCTAAGGTCTTGATGGGTCCCCTGATCTATGGGATAATAGCAGAGGTGGGGAATGATGAGTGTTGTAGAGGTCTTGAGTTTTAGATCCCTCACCCCTCTAGAGCTGTCTGGGGGTTGCTGAGGCACTGACCTATGCTGATGGGTTTATGAAAACTAGGTTCAGCCTTGCCATCTCTTCCCCGCTGCCCAGTATTCTCATCACTTGTTTCTACAATTGACATCAGGATAAATTCTTCCTGGAGCCATCAATCATGACCTGCTAACTGGTTATGATAAAACTGCCTCTGCCAAGGCAGGCAGATCTCTGTGAGTTCAAGGCCAGCCTGACCTACAGGCTCCAAAGCTACAGAGAAATTCTGTCTCAAAAAAAAAAAAAAAAAAAAAAAAAACACAAACAACCTATCTCTGTCTCTGCCTCTCAGTGTGCCAGTTCCTCTTTGGGCACCTGACTGAATTGTACCTCCTTCGCTCTTTAAGAATGGTTATGATTTTTTAACAGATTGTGTTGGCACATATGTTCTCATAGAGGAGCTCAGCAGTGGCTCCTCTGAGAATGGTGGGACAAACAAAAAATGTTTTGTCATTTAGATTTATGTATTTTATGTGTATTTATTTTATGTTTTTGCTTGTGTGAAGAGGGGAATGGGATTCCCTGAAAATGGAGTTACATACAGATGGTTGTGAACCACCATGTGGGTGTTAGAAACTGAACCCAGGTTCTCTATAAGAGCAGCAGGTGCTCTTAACCACTGAACCACCCGTTGAATTCCATTTTTGTTGTTGTTGTTTTTCGAGTCTGGGTTTCTCTGTGTAGCTTTGGAGCCTGTCCTGGAACTTGCTCTGTAGACCAGGCTGGTCTCAAGCTCACAGAGATCCGACTGCCTCTGCCACCTGAGTGCTGGGATTAAAGGCCTGCATCACTACCTGACCTGGCAAAAATATGTTATTTTTAAATAGTTGTTTTATCTTACTTTCCAGGTGGATTCCTACTTTATGAACAAAAAATAAATATCAATTATACTTTTGATAGTCTAATTTTGTATTATTTTGTATTAATATACTGACTTTTTTGATGTTGCAATAAAAGTCATTGTTTTTCATTTCTAAAAGTTACATGTTTTCAGAGAAATACATTAAGAGACTAAGTAAGGAATGATGAGCCAAAATTGCCATCACTTTTCACTCAGCCTCACTTGGCTCTTTTAAACCATCTTCATGTAACATTAGTAGCTGGTGACAGGTTGTTGTTCTTGGCTAAGCAGTCATAAAACCATTTGATACTATTTTTTTTTTTTTTTTTTGGTTTTTCGAGACAGGGTTTCTCTGTGGCTTTGGAGCCCGTCCTGGAACTAGCTCTTGTAGACCAGGCTGGTCTCGAACTCACAGAGATCCGCCTGCCTCTGCCTCCCGAGTGCTGGGATTAAAGGCGTGCGCCACCACTGCCAGGCGTCATTTGATACTATTGAAACCAGCTTTTGCCTGAGGCAGTGACACAGCCATGATTCTAGAGAAGCAGAGAATATCATTTAAGTGATTTTTTTCGCCTCAAATTCTGTACAAAGACTTTATTTTCTTACAGATTGCAGAGCTCAATTTGGAGGCACTAGCTAGTCGTGAAGAACTGAAAGCAGCCAGTCAAGAAACAGAAAAGAAGGGAGGACCTACTAAGCCCCCAAATATGAGGTAATGTTTTTCATTTCAAATAAGAACAAAGGAAAATTAAGGATGTACTTACTAGTTTTCTGACTATGACCAATGTCTAAAATGATGTTTAAAAAAAATCACGCAGAAATAATTGAACTAAGGATTATTACAAGAGAAGATAGAGCTTTTTAATCCTAGAACTCAGGAGGCAAAGACAGATGGTTCTCTGTGAGTTCGAGATCAGTCTGGTCTACAAAGAGAGTTCTGGGACAACCAGGGCTCTGTTGAGAGACCCTATCTTAGGGTGGTAGGGAAAGAAGAGAATTCTAGTCTTGTTGATATTTTTAAGTTAGAAAACTTAGCTTACAGCCTTTAAAGCAGATTGGAGAAACACACACATCCACACTCAGAAACGGTTTGATTTCAGACCATGATGAGTATGTCAGATCCTTAGATTGTGACTTCAATCTTGATTGATAGCTTTAGGTATATTTCTTATTTATTTTCCTTCCTCTTAGGGTAAGACAATCTAATTTGATTTTCTGCAATGATGAAATATTCTGGAGAATATGAAAACCACTGATCACATATGACTAATGCAGTTGATTAACTGGGCCTTTAATTTTAATTAAATTTGTATAACTAAATATTGCTACTGACTACTATATTGGCAAGCATTATAGGCACAAAATTTAACTAGCAAGTCATAACCTAAAAATGACTATTCTTATTTTAATCTCTTTAATTCTTTACAGTGTTTTAGAATGCCTGGACTCGATGGGTCAGAAACTCCTTTTTTTGACTCGGGATATAGATGAACTTTCTTCTTCTAGAAACTGTCTAACTATTAAGTGTTCTTCAAATAAAGAGGTGAATGACCTATTATATCTTTGTAGTAATTGTAACACTTTGTATAACCCCTGGGAATGCCAAGAATTTGCACCAGTAACCTTGGCTAACATGAGCAAGTCTGGCTTCTGCCTCAATCTTATGGAGCACATTTAAGTCTGTTACTTCATAGGAGCAGAGCTGTTAGCTGTCAGTGTCTGCTTTCAGAGATCAGTGGGCTTGGCCTTGCACGCCACTTAGAACTTCTGTTTCTGGTATATGGAGATGTTTATTTTGGAGCCTGGCTATATCTTTTTATATTTGATCTGTTATTGTTCTGTGTATATGCAAATGAGCTCCAGTATTTATTTGTCTTCCCTACCCATCAGCACTGGAATTATAAGTATGCTGCCATTTCTGACTTTTTATTTATGTGTAGTCAAACTCAGGTCTTTGTGCTTGCTCAGCAAGCCGTTTACTTTTCTGAGCCCTGGAAATGTTCTCTTATTTGACAATTTATTAGGTATATTACTTTGTTCTTGGTATATGTATGGGTATTTTGCCTGTAAGCCCATGCCTAGTGCCTATGGAGCCCAGAAAAAGGTATCAGATCCTGAGATACTGGAGTTACAGGCAATTGTGAGTTCCCATATGAGAGCTGGGAATTGAACCTAGGGCTTCTGGAGGAACAGGGTAACAACTAAGTCACCATTTTGCCCTACAATTGCTCTTTCTTAATTTAAAATTCTTTAAGAGAATTTTATGTGTGAATACTACATTTCCATCCTTTCTTCTACCTCCTCCAACTGCCACATCAAATCAATAGCCTCTTATTTAACATTATCATTTTATATATACACAAATTTAAGTGTGTGTGTGTATCTCCCTTCTATTTAGTGTTGTTCATGTGCTTAGGGCTTGACCAGTTGGGATTGGATAACCTTTCAGGGAGCTTGTCTCTAGAGAAGACTAATTCTGCTTCTCCCAGATTTCCCCATCCAGGCTGGCATGTCAGCTGGTGTTGTCCATATGCAGATACTGTTTAGGCAAGTGTATTGTTGAGAGTTCATAGGTAGAGCTTTTTGATCCTGCTTAGAAGACACTGTCTTACAACAGGCACCCCGGTTCTGTTTCCTCTCCTGAACCTGGGTATAAGGGTTGAGATGGAGATGTATGGACTGGGGCCGGGCTCCACAGTCAGGTTTCTCTGCTTTCTGACTGGTTGTGGATCTGTGTGATAGCCTCCACCTGCTATAGAAGCAGCTGCACTAACCTGGGGTTAGGAGAGTGAGTGTTTAGTCTGTAGTTAGAAAGGATACTAGTTTAGGAAAGTGGCATTAATAGGTCCTCTTCTAGGATTCATGACCTCACTAGCCATGGGCAAGTGGCTAGGTTTGTGGCCCCAGAGGTGAATTCTCTCCTACTTGAATGGGCCCTAAGTCCAGTTTAGACATCTGTTGATTACCCTCAGAATAAAAATGCCACTATTACACCAATAGAGATATCTTACCAGCTGTAAAATCTAAGAACCATAATAGTGATGAACCTGGAAAAAGTTAATTCTAAGCTGCATATTTTAGTGGTGTTAGGATTTATAGTATACATATCATAGTAGTTACTTACTACAATTTACTTTCTATAATAGTATACCTTTTCATGTGTAAGAACCTTACAACCATATACTTACATTTCTTTCCTCCCAACCATAGCGCTATTGTTGTCATCACATCTTACTTCCGTATACATTATAGAATCTAGTCTATATTGTTACTAATTTTGCTTTGGTTATGGATTATTTGAAGAGATTTTAGGGATGAAACAATGGTTCCATGTATAAGTAGACTTGCTGCTTTTACAGAGGACCTTGTTTCAGTTCCAAGCATCCACATGGCAGTTCACAGCACCTATAACTCTAGTTCCAGAGGATCTGACACCCTCTTCTGGCCTCCACCAGCACTAGAAATAATGTGGTGCACATACATACATGTAGGTAAGCATTCATTCAAATAAAAAATAAAAAAACTACATTTTAGTAAGAAGACATGATAGGTATATTTGCCACATGATTATCACATCTAGTGGTATTTATTCCTTTATATAAATCCAAATTTTAATCTGAGCAGTAAAGAGTCTGTAGATACTAAATTCTTAGCATCTTTTGTATACTTAGTAATTTTTTTTTAGCTTTCAAATTTAGAAGATATTTTGGTTGACATTTGTTTTCAACTCTGGTATTTTAAAGGTCTTGTTACACGTCTTTTAGATTCCATGAGATTTTCTACCTTAGTGCCCTAGTTTTCTTTCTGTTGCTGTGATAAATACCATGACCCAAAACAACTTAGGGAGCAAAAGATTTATTTGATCTTATACTTCTGTGTCACAGTCCATCACTATGGTAAATCAGGGAACCTGGAGGCAGGAACTAAAGCAGAGGCCATGGAGGAGCACTGCTTACTGGTTTGCTCCTTATGGCTTCCTCAACTTGACTACTGCCCAAGAATGGCAATGCTCACAGGGCCTAGGCTCTCCAACACCCATCATCTCTTTCTAGATACCTCCAGCTGTACTAGGTTGACAAAAACAAAACAAGCAAAAATACAACCCACACTTAGATTATCATTTTTATAAAATTAGGTAAAAAGTACTACTACTTCCTGTTTTATCTTTCATTACTTTTGTAACTCCCATTAGGGTTCTGAGGGTCCCATAGATCACTGTTGTTAATTTTCTAGCAGTTTCTTTCTTCCCCTTTTTAATTTTAGCTGTTTTTTATTGCTAATATCTTCAGGCTCCATCATAACTTCTGTTGTATTTAATGTGATAATAATCACATCCAGTATACTTCTATTTCAGACATTGTAACTTTAATCTTAAAAATCGAATTGGCTCTCTTGTATCTCCCATGCCTCTAATAAAAGACTCAGACTTTCCTCTCAATTCTTTCTTCTGGAATATAGTTACAAGAACTATTTTAACATCCTTACATATTTGATCATCTATGTAACTTTCAGATTAGTTTTCAGTGATCTGTATCCTTGTCAATTATGTTTTCATGCTTCTTTGCATGTCTGAGACAGTAAATTTTACTTTATTGGTATCATGTAGTTTTATGTCCTTGTAAATATTTGTGAGCTTTGTTTGGAAGGTGGTAGTTTTATGGAAACACTGTTCCTTTTGGCTCTTGCATTTAACATTTTTAAGTAGAACCATGACAATTTTTATCCCACTACTGTTGTAAAAGAAAACTTTGTGCTTAATGCGACAAGGGTCATGAGATCTTGTGCCTTGGTTTGGATAATCCTGTGTAAGATTTTGGAAATGTCCCTTGCAATCCTTTTGGATTTTTTTTCCTTCTGGGCCTTACATAGTTTACTTACATAGATACAATCACGAATATTTGAGGGTTAAATTTTTTTGCAGGTCTCTGGTATTCTATGTGTAGCTCTTTTACTCAGTGATATTCTAGCCAGCAGATTTCCCTATTTCTCTGTAGCCTGGAAATGTTCTCTAGGTGGCAAGCTGGAGAGAGATTACAGTGTTCATGTGTTTATGAGATTATTATCCTTCCTTTTCTAATTTCCTGAGAATTACCCCTCCCCCCCCACGCTTTTTCTGATCCCCCCCCCCCCCGACATAGACCTTAAGGGTTTTGTGAGCATCATCTATATGTGTGTGTACATGGTTGCAGGTATGTGCATGCATGCGTGTGTACATGCATATGAGGTTAGAAAACAACTTCAGGTGTCACCCCTTAGGTGCTTTCTACCTTTTGTATGACAATCTCTTTCATTTCAGAGTCCATAAGAACTTTGCCAAGAAGACTAGACCAGTTGGCTGGAGAGCTTCCAAGTTTCTGCCTGTCTTTGCCTCCAATCTCACCGTCACTGAGATTCTTTTCAAGCATAAGCCATTGCCACTAGTATTTTATGTGGATTCTTGGTATTGAACTTGGGTTTTTATACTTGCTAGGAAAGTGATTTACCAAATGAGCCCTCATTATTCCCCCACCCTAGGGAGTCACATGACTTTTTTTAAAAAAAATTGTTTTTTATTGCGCTACATGTTTTTTTGTTTTTTTTTTTTTCTCCTGTTCTCCTCCCTTTCTCTCCCCTCCTACCTTCTCCCATGGTCCCCATGCTCCCAGTTTACTCAAGAGATCTTGTCTTTTTCTACTTCCCATGTACATTAGATCTATGTATGTCTCTCTTAGGGTCCTCTTTGTTGTCTGGGTTCTTTCGGATTGTGAATTGTAAGCTGGTTTTCTTTGCTTTATGTCTAAAAACCATTTATGAGTGAGTACATATGATATTTATCTTTCTGGATTTGGTCTTAATATGATGTTTTCTATATCCATCCATTTGTCTGCAAATTTCAAGATGTTATTTTTTTTAATATTTATTATGTATACAATATTCTGTCTGTGTGTATGCCTGCAGGCCAGAGGGCACCAGACCCCATTACAGATGATTGTGAGCCACCATGTGGTTGCTGGGAATTGAACTCAGGGCCTTTGGAAGAGCAGGCAATGCTCTTAACCTCTGAGCCATCTCTCTAGCCCTCAAGATGTTATTTTTTTCCTGCTGTTTAGTAAGTACTCCATTGTATAAATGTACCACATTTTCCTTATCCATTCTTCGGTCGAGGGGCATTTAGGTTGTTTTCAGGTTCTGACTATGACAAACAATGCTGCTATGAACATAGTTGAGCACATGTCCTTGTAGTATGATTGAGCATCCTGTAGGTATATACCCAAAAGTGATATTGCTGGGTCTTGAAGTAGGTTGTTTCCTAATTTTCTGAGAAATCGCCATACTGATATCCAAAAGGGCTATACCAGCTTGTACTCCCACCAGCAATGCAGGAGTGTTCTCTTTACCCCACAACCTCTGCAGCATAAGTTTTCATCAGTGCTTTTGATCTTGGTCATTCTTACAGGTATAAGATGGAATCTCAGAGTTGTTTTGATTTGTATTTCTCTGATGACTAAGGATGTTGAACATTTCCTTAAGTGTCTTTCAGCCATTTTAGATTCCTCTGTTGAGCGTTCTCTGTTTAGGTCTATACCCCCCTTTTTTTTTTAAATGGTTTATTTGTTCTTTTGATGACCAACTTCTTGAGTTCTTTGTATATTTTGGAGATCAGACCTTTGTCCACTGTGGGGTTGGTGAAGATCTTTTCCCATTCTGTAGACTGCTGTTTTGTCTTCTTGACCATGTCCTTTGCTTTTCAGAAGCTTTTCAGTTTCAGGAGGTTCCATTTATTAATTGTTTCTCTCAGTGTCTGTGCTACTGGGGTTATATTTAGGAAGTGGTCTCCTGTGCCAATGTGTTGAAATGTAATTCCCACTTTCTCTTTCTTCTATGAGGTTCAGTGTGGTTGGTTTTACCTCATTATTTTTTTTAATGGACTTTGATTTTTAGGGAAATTTTAGTCCATGGCAAAATTGCATGGAAAGTGCATTTTCCATTTGTCTTCTACCTCAACATGTGCAATCTCTGCCACTAGATTTTGTTGTCATCAGTGTATCTACACTGATACATCCTTAGTCACCCAAAAGTCCATCTTTTACATTAGGGCTCACTTTTGGTGTTGTATATCCTATACATTTTGACAATGCTTGTTGTCAAATCTATATGTCCCCCTATATATAGATTCACTACCCTAAATATCTTAGGATAAGTGTGCTTTCTAATTCATTCTACTTCTCTCCCTAGAAACCACTGATCTTTTCATTGGCTCAATAGTTTTGCTTTTTCCAGAGTATCACATAGTTGTAATCATATATTAAGAAACCTTTTAGATTGCTTTATTTTATTTAGAAATGTGCATATTTCTTCCATGTCTTTTTGATGTTTTTAGTGTTTTCTGTTTTTAGTGTCTGAGTAATTCACCCACTGATAGGTATAGCTTGATTATTTATAAGTTTTAACACTTACAAAGCTGCTCTAAATATCTGTGTGCAGCTTTTGGATGGACATAAGTATTTAGATACTACATTTAGACAGTTGCATTTGTTTAATAGTGTCTCATAAGTTTCTTGATAATGTCACATAAATCCCTTAACTTCACCTCAACTGTTCTTTATTATCTTTTGACCTCTAACTCGATCATTGTACATGACCTGATGCTTTCATCTGCCTGATTAAATCATTCCTGTGTGATTTTGCAGTGCTATTTTTTAAAATTTTCCAATCCAGAATATTGTTTTTTATCATTTCTTTGTTAGTATTCTCATTTGCTAATATATCATTTTCATGATTTCATAATCCATGTTCAAGCATCTTTATGACAATTCTTTTATCCCCTTAAGCATTTTTAGACATTTAATTAGCCTTATGAGTCTGCAGTTTTCATATCCATGGAGTCAACCAACCATGAATCGGAAATAATAAGGAAAAGAATGACTGAACACATGCAGACTTTTTTCTTTTTTAATGTTCATTAGAAGTGCAGTAGAAAAGCTATTTACATAGCATGATATTCTTTTCAATGATATAAGTAATCTAGAGATAGTGACTCAGTATACAAGAGAGTGTATACAGATCTAGAGTGCAGTTTGCCACTTGTTGTTAGAGACCTGGAGCCTACCATAGTGGTGTAATCTCAATATTCAGAAGACAGGCATTCACAGGTCTTCATACAGCTACACTTTTCTAGATTCAGTTTATGGAATTATATTGTCTTTTTAGGTTAAGTTTCCCTGTATCTTTGTATGCTTTGTGATTTTGTTACTAAGACTTAGACATTAAAAAAAATAAACAGTTCTGGTCTGAGGAGCTGACTCAGCAGATAGAGCACTTGGCCTACAAATATAAGTGCCAGCATTCAGACTCTTAAGAACCTTATATTATAGTTTTGTTCTGTTGTTATGATAAAACACTGCCCAAAAGTAACCTAGGGAAAGAATAGATTATTTCAGCTTACAGGTTATATAGTCTATCATTGAGGGAAGTCAAGGCAGGAACTTGAAGTAGAAACCCTGGAGAAATGCTTCTTGCTGGTGTTCTCCAACTGATGTTTAGCTTTCTTATATATCTTAGAACTACCAGCCCAAGGAATGGTGTCATCTAAGTGTGCAGGGCCCTCCTACATAAATTAACAAGACAGTTCCTCAGACATGTCCATAGAGGAGGTTTTCCTCTCATGACCTTAGGTTATGTCAAATTGAAGACTAAAGATGACAGGAACACCCTCTAAAAGCCAGGTGGACCTAGTAGGGGATGGGGAGAGAGAGGCAGATATAAAGATGCCTAGATCATGCTGGGTTGCCAGAGTAGCTGAAACTGAGAGCCCCAGGTTCAGTGAAATACCTTGCATCGAAGTGACTGAGGACGACACCCTAATATCACCAATATGCACACATGTGTACATGCACCTGCACACATATGTACCATAACATGAAAGCATGTATACACTATACATACATAAAGAGAGAGAGAAAAATAACCAGTTCTGATTTTATGAACTGTTTTATGCAGCATCCAAGATTTGTGTTATCTGCAATTTTGCGTTTTTAACTGTCTCAAATTTTCTTGGCAGTTTGTTGCTATTTTTTACAGCACAGAATCTCTTCTACCTCATGGGCATCTTCCTTTGAAACTGCATCTCTAACATGCCATAGTAGTCAGTTTGTAATGATTTCTCAGCAAGTCCTGTACTCCTGTTAGCTCTTCAAATCAGATGAGAAGAAGCCAGTTTCCCAGGCAGCGCCCAGATTTTCCAGAATATTGGGTACATAGGTTTGCATTCCAAGAGAGAATCTCTGGAGTGGGAAGTTATCCTCCCATGAAGTCTGTGTTGATTCAGAGGGAGAAAGAGATGGGAACACAAAGTATTGCAGTGCCATTCACTAGAATGTCTTACCTCCCAAGAACTGGGAGTTAGTGGCATATACCCATCATTCTCAACTTTCCAATACTTGGAGCTTAGGGGGTTGTTTGTTTGTTTGTTTGAGACTAATTTATGGTGTCAGGGAGAGGAGAGGAACTTATAATCTTGTTAGGAAAGGTTGGCATTTGCTATCTCTCTCGGCAAGATCTGTAATTTACCTTTTTATTTTCATTTTTGCCACATCTAACAAGGGTACCATCTTTTTTTCTGTATATTTCATGCTGCTTCCTGGCTGCCAGGCTTTTAGCCATATCAAAGTTGTGACATTTGCATTTAGTTGGACTTCTTTCTAGGGGTGCTTCTGTTTTCTACTTCCTCTAATTCTTTCAGGCACATCGATTTTCCTCCTCACTACTTACTACCCCCATCTCCAATGACTCTCTTAAGCCTCCTTTGTTTTCTTTATTTAGTGATTTGCAACAATGTATAATGATGAGGGCCTCTGTTGGAATTTATTTTCTTACAAGTGACTTGAAGGTTTGTGGTAATCACTCTCTTAGTAATATTTAAAGTATGGGTCACATATGTTATACATTACCTTTATGGCTTTTATGTGATACTAGAGGGTTAAACCCAAACTCTTGTATATGGTAAGACCTGTTTCACTATGCTATATCCCAAGCCCTTTTTATTTTGATACAGGGTCTCACTAAGTTGTCCAGCCTGACTTTGAACTCAGTCCATATCCTGGTCTTAAATTTGCTATCCTCAGCCTCTATGTGGTTGAGATCATAAGCCTGTGCCTCCAGTCCCTGTTGCAAGTTGCCTTTAGAAAGAAACCAAGCCCTGGTTGTCCTGGAACTCGCTATGTAGGCCAGATTGTCCGCAAATTCACAAGAGATCCCTGTCTCTGATTTAATCTTGAATTGCCAGGATTAAAGACCTGAGCCAGCTCCACCTGGCTTAGTTGTTAGATTTTTAATTCATTGGGTTGGGGAAGTTCCCTCTGTCCTGGATTTTCTGAGTTTTAATATTGAAATTTTCCATAAGCTTTGTCTGCATAAGTGAGTACAGTCATGCTAGTTGATATGACAGTACATGTTGACTTTCGAATATGGACCCAGCCTGATATCCTTGAATTAAACTGCTTCTGTTGTAATTCGTTTCTAAGCATTGTTAAACTATTTGTGACACTGTCAAAAAAGAAAGAAAGAAACCAAATCTTATATCCCTAGAAGGATGCATTGTTCCTGAGGTTCTCCAGTTCCAGGTTGATGTGTGACATGGATGTAACAAGCTCCCTTTCCATCTCCCTGCTTCGGAAACTCATTGCATATGTTATTCTTGGACAGAGGACATAGTATATTAAACTGGAAAGGACGGGTACTATGCTGAGTCTTAGCCAAAAGGCCAAGCAGCAGTAATTTAGTGGCTTTTCTAGGAGACTGTGTGCTGTTACCATTCTCCTTTGGACCTGGAAGTCAGCTGTGTGCCTCTTTGGGGTATAAGTAAAAGGCAACTGTTTATATTACTGTGGCTTGTGGAGGGAGTTGAATGAGTACTGGGTTCCTAACTCATTCAGTCTATGCTGTCTGTTCTCTTCAGGTGCTTGAGGAAGCCAAAGTGGAAGTCCCTTTGTTTCCCTTCAGCATTGTGCAGTTCTCTTTTGAGCCCTTTTCACCCATCTTTGCTGACGAGGTGAAGCAAAGTGTAAGTAGATGGATTCTGCTGAACTGTTTGATAACGACAACCTTTCTTCATTAAGGAAAGTAATGCACACTTGCTTAAATTCTCATCTATTTCTCCAGATTATTTCAATATAATTAATATTTGAGAAACATGTTTTATAAAATAGGAATCAGACTGAGTATCCTGTTTTACAACTTTGTTTTGTGTGTGTTTTTTTTAGTGTATGTATATGTGTACAGGTATGTGGGTGGGTGGGTGTGTATGCCCATGCATGCAGAGGCAGAACATGGCCTCCATCCTTAAATATCTTCTTTTTTTTTAAAAAAAAAATTTATTTACTTATTATGTATACAATATTCTGTCTGCAGACCAGAAGAGGGCACCAGACCTCATTACAGATGGTTGTGAGCCACCATGTGGCTACCAGGAATTGAACTCAGGACCTTTGGAAGAGCAGGCAATGCTCTTAACCACTGAGCCATCTCTCCAGCCCTAAATATCTTCTTTTATCACATCTATTTATTTATTTATTTATTTGAGGCAGAGTATGTCACTGAGTCTAGAGCTCACTGATTTAGCCACCCTGTCTTTACTGCTAGCACTGAGGTTAGAGGCATGTGCCACTTGCATTCGTGTTTTCCTGTGGGTGCTGGGGTCTGAACTCGGGTCCTCAAGCAAGCACTTCATCCATCGAGCCATTGCCCCGGCTTTGTTGCAACTTTATTTTAATTTTAAATGTATCTTCTGTGTCAGACATAGTTTATTGTTCTTATTTTTAAGATATGCAAGTATTCCACTGAGTGGTAAACCTATTATTGAGAGCATTTGTGTTTTCAGTTTTTTCCTACTATAAATAATGGACATCCTTGAATACAGACTCTTCGTTTTATTTATTTATTTTTTTATTTTTTGAGATAGGGTTTTTATGTAGCTGCCCTCGAATTCTCTGGAGACCAGGCTGGACTCAAACTCAGAGATCCCTCTGCCTCTGCCTCCCAGAGGTCTGGGATTAAAGGCATGCACCTTACCTCAATGATAATTTTTTAAAGGGTTTATTCATTTTATTTTTTGTGTGTGAATATTTTGTCTGCATTTATGTGTGTGTGTACCACATGCATTCTTGGTGCTCTTGGAGGTCAGAATGGGGCATAAGGTTCCCTGAAACTTGGAGTTACAGATGGTTGTGAACAACCATGTGGATGGTGGGGATCAAATGCTCTTCTGCAATAGCAACAAGTACTTTTACCCACTGAGCCATCTTCCCAGCCCTATAACAAGTCTAGACTTTAGACATCTGAAAAGGTAATACAAGCTTTGACTTATGATTTCAGTTCATTTTCACATCCACCGCTTCATTCTGTTGTTTTTCCTATAGATGAAGACCAAATGGACAGAGATGTCAACTGTCTATGCTGGTCCATTTGTCAAAAATTGTAACATTGGGCCTCTGAAGAAGATGTTTAAGAGCATGGGCCCAGTCCAGTCAGTAACTCTTGTTCTTGAAACTTTTAGGGTAAGCTGAGAATATTAGGTTTTGACTTTCTTAGAAAAATCAGATGATGGTGAGGGCTGTGTGGCTAACCAATAACAAATTAGTAAAATAAGCTTAATTTGCTCCAGCTCTGTCTGATGGGGACAGTAGCTGGCCCATATATAATCATTATTTCTGGATCTTATGTTCTTGTGTACTTAACAGTTTTTATTTTGTTTTGCTTAAAGAGAAATATACCATGTAGGCCAGACAAAAATATACTAAAGACAGGGTAGTAACACAACGTTTTTAATCTCAGAACTCCAGGAAGCAGAGGCAGGAGGATCTCTGTGAGTTTAAGGCCAGTATGGTCTCCATAGAGAGTTTCAGAACAGCCTGTCTCAAAAAACCAAAAACAACAAAATCCCTGCTAGTTGAATGTAACCTTTTGTGCTGACCTCACCTTTGAATGATAAAAATATTCTTTAAAAAAGAATAGTTGGGGGTGTGTATGTGGAGGGATTGCTCCATGGTTAAGAGTATGTACTTCTCTGGAGGACCTAAGTTCAACTCCCAGCACCCACATCAGGCAGCGCACAACCAGCCCCAGGGGAATCAGACATCCCTGCCTCTGGGCATATGGACATAACCACACACAGAGACATACACACATATGCATAACTAGAAAGAATAAATTTTCAAAATAATTTAAAAAATATAAAAATGATGATAACAAAAATATTGTAACTGTAATTCTTGCTTTATAACTGTTTTGTTATATGTAATTTTTCTATGTTAAAGTTAGAGCCTTCCTCTTTTTGTTTAAACAGAAAAAGGGGAAATGATGGAGGAAGGTCATTGGTTAATTAATAAAGAAACTGTTTGGCCTCATAGGTTAAAACATAGATGGGTGGAGTAAACAGAACAGAATGCTGGGAGAAAGAGGAAGTGAGCTCAGACTAGATAGCTCTGCTCTCTGGGGCAGACGTGATGAAGCTCCGACCCAGGATGGATGTAGGCTAGAATCTTTCCGGTAAGCACACCTTGGGGTGCTACACACATTATTAGAAATGGGCTAGTCCAGGTGCAAGAGTTAGCCGAGAAGAGGCTAGATATAATGGGCCAAGCAGTGTTTAAAAGAATACAATTTGTGTGTTGTTATTTCGGATAAAGCTAGCCATGCGGGAGCCAGGGAGGCCAGAATGCAGCCCTGCCGCTCCTTCAACAGCTCTGTTGTAATAGGAGCGGCCGGGCTGCGTCCCCGGCGCCCGGTCGCCCGCATGGCTAGCTTATGCCCTGAAATAATTACACGGAAACTGTATTCATTTAAACACTGCTTGGCCCATTAGTTCCAGCCTCTTATTGACTAGCTCTTACATATTGATCTAACCCATTTCTAATAATCTGTGTAGCCCACAAGGTGGTTTACCAGAGAAGATCTTAACCTGTGGCTGTGTCAGGTGGGAGAATCATGGCGACTCTCTGACTCAGCTTCTTTCTCCCAGCATTCTGTTCTGTTTACTCCACCCACCTAAGGGTTGACCTATCAAATGGGCCTAGGCAGTTTCTTTATTAATAAACCAATGAAAGCAACAGATTAGAAAGAAATCACTCCCACATCAGACATAACCACATACAGAGACATACACACATATGCATAACTAGAAAGAATAAATTTTCAAAATAATTTTAAAAATATAAAAATGATGATAACTATTTTTTAAAACAAAATAATGAAGCCACCTAGTAAGATGGTTCAGCAGATAAAGGCACTTGCTGCCAATTTGATGACATGAATTAATTTCTGGGACTCACATTGGTAGAGGAAAGAAGCAGTTTCCACAAAGTATCCACTGATTTCTACATGCCAGCCATGACACATATGCGCACAAACACACACACACAAACTAAATAAATAAACATAAGTTAAAAATTACAAAAGAACTGTAACTTCCCTGTCTTAGAAAGTTGTATAGGCTTTAACTACACAGTCGACCAATAGCTAGCATACACTAAAGGATAATGGATTTATAAAGGGTTTTAAGAGTGAGCTGGGTGGTGGTGGCACACACCTTTAATCCCAGGACGCGGGAGGCAGAGGCAGGTGGATCTCTATGAGTTTGAGGCCATTCCAGTCTACAAGAGCTAGTTCCAGGGCAGGCTTCAAAGCTACAGAGAAACCCTGTCTCAAAAAACCAGAAGGAAAAAAAGGTGTAACTAGGGATTAAACCTAGAGTCGTAGGCATGTTAGAAAAAGACTCTACCATTGAGCTACATTCCTAACCCTTTTTGTTTTAGTATTAGAGAGGATCTTATTGTGTATCCTGTGTTGCTGTAAGATATGCAATCCTCCTGACTCATCTTCTGAGTAGACAGGATTACAGGTGTATGCCCTCATGTACTATACTCAGCTTTGATTTTCTGTTTTTGTAAGGGGCATAGGACAGTGTAAGAGTTCTGCCTGCCTACTTTTCTTTTTTAATTCTCTAGTCTCTTGAAGTAAATTTTGTGTATTGGATTTTTATTTATATAAATGATCTTAATGATTTTGAAACTATTTCAACAAAAGAAAAATATTTTTAGTTATTTAAATACTTATATATCATGTTAAAATGTATATAATTCAAAGGACTTAAGTAAATCTCTATCTTTATAGTCATTATATTATTATATCATAAGTAGATAAATGACTAAGGTTTTCATGTGAAACAATAGCATAGCATGAAAGAAGATACGACAAGAATTAAAACTAGAAACAGCATAATAATATCTATAGGAGCTGGGCATGGACATGGAGGCAGAGGCAGCACAGCTACTGCACAGTCAAGAGCACCCTGATCTAGTTCCAGGTCAGTTAGGCCTCCATGGTGAGACTCCTTCTCCAAGTAGAAAGGGTTAACTATAGATATTATGTAGTAAGTAGTATGATGGAGGCCTCTATAAGGAGGACTAAATTAGCTGAAGAAAGGAGTAGGAGAAAATGTCAGTATTTTGTTTTCTACCTTTAGAATGTAGAACTGGGGCAATTCATAACCTGGTACAATAATAATTATGAAAATGAAGTAAAAACATAAGGACTGCCAAAGTTACTTTTTGTTGTTGTTCATTCCTACAGCTAAAAATTTAGATATTGATTATCTCTGAGAATAGATAATCTCAGAATTGGGAAGTTTGTTGCAAGATTATAACCACTTATGTCTTCTTGCTTTTTTTGTTGATTTTTGTTTCTGTATAATATACATAATATAGAATTTACCTTTCTATCCCTTAAGTTCACAATAAGTTTACTGATATAATACAGTGTCATGATCATGATCATCCTTCTCTATAACTGTTCATCATTCTGAACTGGAACACCCTATAATTTTAAGTTTCAGTCTCCTAATAGATATGTGGCTTGTAGGATTTTTTCCTATTTTGTGGACTGCCTTTTACAATTTGGTGGTCTTGATGTCTAAAAATTTTGTAATTTTGAGGAAACTTAGTTTGTCTCCCCCCCCCCCTTGTTATTTGCCTTTGGTGTCATTTTCAAAAATTTGTTGAAAACAATGTTCTAAAACTTTTCTGTAGGAGGACTTTCTCCATGCTGCTCTGCAGCTCAGCTGACGTCGGGGATTTAGCTGCTTTGAGTCTTAAGATGTGGCCTAGCCAGTGGAAGAACTTGGCTTTCCCAGGGAACTGGAAAGTTGTCTAAAAACCAAGCTAGTTGACATCTGGGAGTCCCTGCTTGTGACATACATGAGTGACCTTAGTGCTTTGTAGTGAATATGAAGAGCAAGTTAGGTAGTGATGAATTGTTTAGTTTTTCTTACATTACCATCACAATGGGCTTTGGTTTTAAATGGAAAAATGGAAGTTACTGACTGAAAACCAATTCCTGAACTTTGGTGATTTTACTTAAAGCTGACTGACAGTCTGCAATCCATTGCCTGTCTGGCCTAGCACGTTAAAAAGCATCCATTGTGGTTTGGTTCCCTTTCTCAGTCCCTCCTTCTAGCAGTTTGAGTTGGAAGTAACAATGGTGAAAACCTTGGTCTTTCTGCAGCCTTACTTCTGTGTACAGTATGAAGTCTTGGAAGCTGCTCAGCTGGCTATAGAGACCATGAATGGCATTCTGGTAGAAGGTTCTTACATCAAGGTAAGATGGCCAAAACTGAAAGTAGCCCCCTACATCGAGGCAAGATTTACCACAGTCCATATGGATATCCCGAAGATGCCCAGGCATGAGGCATTGTAATAAATGCCCTTAATCAAGACTTAATAACTTTCAGTTTCATAAAAATCAGCCTGGGGCCGGGCGATGGTGGCGCACGCCTTTAATCCCAGCACTCGGAAGGCAGAGGCAGGCGGATCTCTGTGAGTTCGAGACCAGCCTGGTCTACAAAGCTAGTGCTAGGACAGGCTCCAAAGCCACAGAGAAACCCTGTCTCAAAAAACAAAAAAAAAAAAAAATCAGCCTGGGCTAGACTACAGTTTTATTGTATTCCTTATCAAGTATCCTTGTCCCTCAGTGCTATTCTGAGTCTGCCCATTCCTTAGCTTTCAAGGGGGTGAGATGGTGGTATTGTAAAGTTGTTTTTGTACAAGTAAACAAGATTTCAGTGGAGGCAGCAAGCAGGGAACTAGAGAATATAGATTGTTATGAAAATATGTATTTCTTAATTAAATCTACAATCATTTCTATGAAACACTTATTGGCCTCCTAAATATTAGGAAGCTGCATATTGAGTTGCTGATGTACAACATGACAGAGGTTAGTTAAAATGGTGACTTTGTACCACTAACATCATCTTTCCTTGGTTAGGTGCGCAGGCCTGTGACAGAATTCACTCTTGAGTGTGACACCCTTGTGCATGAGCTAGAGCAAGATTGTGAAAACCAAGGTACTATATATGTGACTGGATTTGGCAAAGCTTTTAAAGAACACCTGTTGGAGCACTCCAGCCTCTTTCCTAGCCTGGAAGCCATGATACTGCCTAAAGATGTTAAAAGCAGACAGCAAAAAAACTACTGTTTCTTGAGTAAGTAATACCATTAAATGTAGCCTGGAAGGACATTGGAGATGGCAGCAACATGAGATCAAAGAAGGGGTTCACCAAAAAAGCTTTCCTGGAGTAGACCAGGGCGGAGCTTCTAATTCCACTCTATTCCTACACCTTAGCCAGGCCTTAGTTTATCTGTTGATCTGCTTTCTTGGCTCTCGTAACAAATGTTGGGATTTTTCCTACTTTCAGAGTTCAAATCCCGTGACAGTGCCCAGGTAGCCCTTGAAATTCTCAAGGGCAAGGACTGGAAGTTGAAAGGCAGACATGCCCTAACCCCCATGCACCTTCAGACATGGCTCAAGGACATACATCCTGAACCAGCAATGCCTTCAGGACTTCAACTAGTACCACCGCTCTTGGAGAAGCATGTCTTCCAGGTAATGAGTGTGTCTTGGGGTCAGCAGGGAAGATAGCTGCTGGGGTCTCTGGTTCTGGACCCTGGCCTCTGCTCCTGGAGCAATCAGGAAAGACTTGATCATTGGCACTGCATCCTTCAGGCTTTTTGTTGGTTTGTTTTTCCTGCCCTGGCTCCCATCTTATATCACTCCTCCAGCCTCCTCTAGCCCTGGCCATATTTGTTCTTCTCTCAGATATCAAATACTTTTGCCTCTTTGATAACCACTAAAAATCTCATTCTTATTCTTCAGGGTGGTTCCGCAAGGAACTTTGAGGGACCAAGGTGGGAGGATGGAGAGCTGGATAAGTCTTAGGTGAATTAGTGCAGGGCTTCCCAAAGTGTGATCTATACACAAGATAAATTTTGGCTGTCATAGGTAGAGACTTTTTTGTTTCCACTTTTGTAGCTTAGGACTTCCATTAAACTTACATCTGACCTGAGATTAGGCAAGACTAAGGCAGCAGTGGAAATGCATGGATAAAGAAGGTGTATGTGTATGTGTAAGTGTGGCGATCGAAGGCTGCTTAAAGCTTAGAAACTTTGCTGTAGTCTCAGACTTAGCAGATGAGGGATGGAGATTAGAGCTGGTCAGTGACTCATCCAAGGTCACAGATACCCTTAATGGCAAAGGCAGGTAGGGAACCTTATCAGTGATATGACTCCCTCGCTTAGGGCCCTTTTGGAAGACTCACTTGAAAGAACCAACAGAAGCTGCCCTCTGCCACAGAAGTCCTAAGTCACTTGAGGTCTGTAAGAGGGCTGCAGTTTCAGGCAGGGATTTTTTCCAGAGCTTCCTGTGGCTTTAGAACTCAAGAAAGTGCTTTAACTCCTAAAGGTGAACAGGAGACTAAATGTTGATGCATGACTTTGGTCCTAGATTGCGGAGGAGAACCACCCAAGGATAGTTGCCTGGCGTTGCAACCGGAAGATTGAAAAGCTCTATCACTGCCTGAGCCCGGGCACCCTCTGCCTCATCTTGATGCCAGGAACCAACAAGTAAGGACCTGATACGTTGTCCTCGGAATTCTGACCCCTGGAATTCAGCTGTTTTAAGGGAAGACCTTTAGTTAAGTGATGCCCAAGCATGTAATGAGGATTTACATGAGTTCTTATCACAGTTCTAGAAGGTAGACATTATATTCCTATTTTACTTGTTACTTAAATTTATCGGTTCTTCTGATGCAGCTCATCCCACCTTAAAACAGAGACTTAGGCCTAATAAATACTGAAGTGGGCTGTATAGGTCTGGTTATAGCTCCTATTATATAAATTTTTTAAAAATATTTATTTTTTACATATATTGGTTCTTTGCCATGAGTGTTGGGTCTCCTGGAACTAGAATTACAGACAGTTGTGAGTTGCCATGTGGTTGCTGGGAATTGAACCCGGGTCCTCTGGGAGAGCAGTTAGTGCTCTTAAGCACTGAGCCATCTCCCCAGTCCTATTATATAAATTTTTAATAACTGGCCAACTTACCCATCACAGGTCTAAGCTGGAAAGGTGGTACACACCTATAATTCCAGCATTTGGAAGATTGAAGGAAGATAGTGAGTTCAAAGCTAGTCCTGGGGTACACTGTGAAAACATGTCTCAAAGCAAAATTCTCTTGTGAGGGATTTTCAGTAAATCAGTGGTTTTTTCAAAACACAAAGTATGATAAATACTTTATTTAAAGAAAAATTAATGTTAAAATTAGTCCTAAAACATATAGTGTCATTTGTGGGGTATTTGCAGTGTGTGTGAAGAGCTTGAGTGCATTAGAGGCCGGAAGAGGGCAGCAGATCCCCTGGATCTGTGGTTATAAGCAGTTGTAAGCTACCTGATGTGAGTACTGGGAACCGAAACTGAACATGGGTCCTCTGCAAGGAGTGCTCATAACTGCCGGAGCTCTCGTCATCCCTGATTCCTCTACTTTATCTTCAAGTCCTAATAATCTGTCTTCTTGATCCATTCTACTGGTAAGGCTTTCCTGAGTTTTCTAATTGGGTTATTGAATTTTGCAATTTCATTATTTCTATCTCTTTACTGAATTCAGTTTTCAGGTCTTGAACTGTCTTGTCATTTCATTCAGTTACATATTTATTTTCTTGGATTTATTCTTATCCTCCTAAGTTCATTGAGTTTTCTTTAAATTTTTGGATTCATTGATGATGTTTATGATTGTTTCTTTAAATTGTTCTGGGATTCATCTAAGTAGTTTTTAAAATTTTTTTAAATTTTATGTGCTTTGGTATTCTACCTGCACGTATGTCTGGGTGTGAGTGGAACCGGAACTTGAGTAATAGACAGCAGCAAGCTGTCATGTGGGTGCTGGGAACTGAACCCAGGTCCTCTGGAACAACAGTCAGTGCTCCTAACCACTGAGCCATCTCTCCAGCCCTCTAGGTAGTTTTTATTGGAGAACATTTCTGTAGGGCTGGTGAGTTTTGGAAGGGACATAATGTCTTGGCCTCTCAACATTTGTTTTGCAATATGACTTTGTCGTGTAGACTTCCTTGGTTATATGTCTGATTCTAGGCTGCCTCTGTTGATTGGGAGTTTTGTTTTGATTTTTATTGTTGCTTGGTTGATTTCAGATCAGGTATCAATAATTAGTAGTTAATCCTTTAAATTCTCAGTGTTGATTTTGGATTGGATGAACATGCATGATTCCAGTTAAGTGGTAAGCAAGAAATGTGGATGATTCGAATGGATGGCTGTTCTGCAAGTTCAGCTAATTGGGTAAGCCAGGTTCTTGGGCACTCACCAGGCTAAGCTAGAGTATAAGCTGTTTGCCTAAAGCTGGGCCTAAGTATTAAGAATATGGCAGGCAGGTGAGAGGGTTCAAGATACTTACCAGACTTGGCCAGGACACAGAATGGCTAGGCAATGAGGTTGGTGATGGCACAAACAGGCAAGAGTCCTAGCAACTCAAAGACTGGGCCAGTGCACAGGATGTTTTATCTAGTCTAGTGTGGTAGGGGCAGGCAAGGGTCCAGGATACTCACTGGACATGGGAATCTGTCAGACCCTTAATAAGCAAGTTCTGTGGCAAGCAAATACATAGACTGGGTCAGGATTATTGGAGTCCTTAGAAGCACAAGCACAATGCCTCTGTTTAAGCAATTTACCAAGGACACACAACTAGTAAGTGCAACCATCCTGTACTGAACCATAATGATCGGACTCTAGAGCCATTCAAAAAAAGACTTGCTAGACAGCAGGTTAACAATTTGTGTTTTGCTATTTTCTGCCTTTCTTGCATCAAAGAGCTCCTTTAGCTCTTTAAATCCAGTCCCATGAATATTCTTCCAAGGTGACAGTGAACTACCAGGTATCAAATGACTCCTCAACTGTAAGCACTATTCTAATGACAAGCATTGTTAATAAGTAACAAAGCTTTTCAGATGACACTACCCCAGTTTCTAAGGACTCTTAACCTGGCTGTTACTTGCTAGTATGACTTAAACAAGTAATGTCTGAGCCTGTTTCTCTGCTTGGAAAATGGATTGAAGACATTTATCACTGAGCTGCTTTTAAGGGTTAGCAGACAGGTATTTTAAACTGCCCACACTTGGTATGTAGAAAGTGCCCAGTGAGTGCTGGTTATTACTGTACTTCTTTAAGCCTTAGTGGCATAGTAACTTGCACGTTTTAGGGTTAAGAAAAAGTGAGGCTTACTGGAAATGTGTCATCTGTCTCTTAAGCAGCAGAGCTAGGACTTGAATCAGGCTTCTTCACTGAGCCCACTCCAGCAGGCAGCTTTCCATAAACCTTCCTCTTAGTGTATTGTACACACCTGCTTAAAAACGTACTCTATCCTAGGAGCATAGAGCCATTCATTTAGCCATTTAGATAAAACTATGTCTTTGTTTTTTATTTATTGCAGCACTTTTGGATTACACCCTGGCCTAGGACTGATGAAAATAAAAGAGGAAGAGGAAAGTGACCCCCCGGGCCTGGGAGTGTGAATCTCCCCACACTTTCCAAGTATCCCTTCACATATAGATAATGTGACTAGGCTACAGCCCCTTCAAGACGATGGCAAGTCTTTCCATCTAGCAGACACCTTTGTTAAAAAGTTGGAATACCAGCCAAAGTATTGTCATGTGCAAAATTTCAATAAATGCCTAAAACTCAAAATATTTCCTCCTCTTAAGGCATGGTGAGGAGGAAAATGAGTGTTTTGTGTCTGATTTTATTTATATAGGTACTGATTGATTGCTATATCACTACCATTAAATGGTATTTACTGCAAAGACCAAGAGAAAAAATCCAGTCAGTCTGTCAAATTTCTGTAAGTAACTGGCTTAACTGTTGACTCTGTGGCATCTGCTATAAAGTTAAAGGCTGTGGTGGGGAGTTGGGGGAAGGCTGAACTAACATCTGGCAAGAGAAGAGATAATGGAAGACTTATCTTTGTAGTTAGAACCCATTTCCATGTTTGGAAATACCTTTTGGGGGATACAGCTGCAGAATCACCCTTCACCAGTAGGTGTCCCCATCACACCAGGGCACCACTTAGAAACTGGAAACTTCAAAACTCAGGGGGGGAAAAAAAAACCTAAGTTTTTAGGTGACTAGTAACACTGTTGGAAAGATGGGACACAGATCTACAATTACAAATCCGATAGATACTAAGCGCTCCAGAGAAAGTAAGCTAATCTGTCAGTCACAGCTAAAATCTTGCTTTTCTACACTCAGATCCTACAATTGAAGAACTGAAGATAAGGTGCTTGTACAAAAAAGTGCACAAAGTAGATGCCACAGGGTTATTACAAAAGAATGAGTCTGCTGTGCACATGTGCCCCTTCTAGTCCCAGCTTTTAAAATTATTGGATTGCTCAATGTAAGTTAAATAGTATTATTCTAGGCACAGAGATGCTAGTATCTCATATAAGTATTATTTTGCTTTTTGAAACAGGGCCTCACTATGTCCTGGAACACTATGTAGACCCTGCTGTCCTTAAATTCACAGAGACCCATCTGTCTCTGCCTTCTGGGATCAAAGCCATTTGCCACTGCACCTGGCTCTCAGAATTGAGTTCATAGTCATACATGTACATGTGTGTATAGAGCTATAGAAGAGTATTATAGTTTTGAGTCCTGCTGCGTAGGGGAATGTACAAAGCTATGCATAGGATTGGAACCAAGCCTGGAATGCTGTGTGCCAAGATGTTAACAGTATTTCTCTCTGATTAGTGGAACTGGCAAATCAAGTTTTACAAAATGCTTTGATATAAGGCTCTATTCTAAAAAACAAAAAACCCAGGCAGGCTTGGTAGTGCACACACTCTGGAGGCAGAGGCAGGTGGATCTGAATTTGAAAGTGAGGTCAATTTATGTAGTGAGTCCCAGGTCACCAAAGGCTACAAACCGTTTCCTTAGGAAAGAATAATTCTGAAAATTTGGGGTTGGGCACTTAGGGCAGTGTTCAGTCCTTAAATGAAGCCTCTGTAAGATTGGACTGTAAGTGGAACCAAGCACCAGAGTTTGATTTGAGATCAACACACTGCTTCCTGAAGTCCCTTTGTCAGGAGGAAATGTGTGTTGTGTCAACTTGAGCTTCCTTTCCAGTTAAGCTCTAAAGAGTGGAGCTCAACTGATAGAAACCTTTTGAGGCTCCTGTCCTCAAAGGCAGTGCCTCTAGTGGACATGGAAAGGCCTGGGTTACAACTTCAGCTCCAGCTGAGTATTTGGGTCATTCTGAATCCATTTCCACAGCTGTATAAAATGAGGAAATACTTATTTTTAAGAATTATTAGACTTCAAAAGATCTAGCTTGTGGAAAATGTCAAGAATAGTAGACTGTGAACTATTTTCCCGAGATCCTGCTTAAAATGGGGAAATCAGTACCTACTTCATGGTTGTTAGGAAGATTAAATTAGCGAAAGTCCAGCATGAATTGAGCCCAGTAAGTGGCAAGCATTAGGGGACTTTGCAAAGTGTTGCAAGAAGCTATTAAGGCTTTCTGAACTCAGCAAGGCTATTTCCTTCATCATGGATGAGGCTTTCCCCCTGGGCCCCAACTGCAGAACTGAAGAAATGAACCCAGCCTTCAAGCCTCAGACTTCTGCACACTGTGTTCTTCCAGCTGATGCTCCCACCTTTTGGAAACCAAAGCTGCCAACTTGGCCTCTTGCAAAACACACATTCCATTCATAAGTGCGTTTGTGCATTGTTTCTCCCACACCCTTCTAGGCAGCCAATGCTGAGCTGAGCTGCCAAGGCAGCTGCCTGAGGAGCAGTCTTAGGGAAAAGGCAACTGGAGGTTTTTATGGAACTCTTGATTTGGGTTTGGAACTCCTGTACCTATATTGGGGTTGCTGAGAACAACACTAAAGCCACATTTGTTTTTATTTCCTTGGACCTCTGAAAATGACCTCTTAAAAAATAAATAGGGAAGTCAGTGTAAATTATATCCAACCACCCAGAAGCAATGACTGACAGTATTTTACAAGCTTAGATTTTTCTATCATTATTCATATTTTTAAAATAGCTACATAATAACTGTCATAACTCATAGATTCTAAACCACGACTGCTGACTGAAGCTGCAGACTGCGTTCTTGCACATACACACTCAGCAGGCATCTCTTAAGAAAAGCTTCTGTACTGATGCATATTGATACTTAGTTCTTTTGACTACAAAAAGATTCCACTGTTTACTAGCATAATTTGTCTCAAATCTTTGCCAGTGTACTGCATTAAAGAACATTTTCATATGTTTACTTACTATTTTCTTGGGTACCATTTAGATTGACATCTAACTTAGAAGCTTTTTGGTCAGATTTTCTTCAGCGAGCTGTATATTTCTGTTGCCTGGTGTGTTGGGAAGCCAACTACTTTTCCATGTTGACTTTTTAAGAGCTTCTTGTGGGTTAAGTATGTTAGAAACATTTAAAGTGTTTCTAGTTTGCTTTTTAAGACATAGACATCTTGTAATTTAAAGTCCCGATTGGTCCAAGGATCAGTTTAAATAGCCAATGGCAAAGCTTATATATCTCTAATGATTTGACTTCTATACCTCCGGACACCTCGGCATACAGTATTTTTCTCATATGTAGATAAATTTACCCAGTTATCTACCTTTGCTTCTTTTATAATTTGGGTCAACACCAAGGGCTAGAGGGATAACTTCTAGAGCCAAGTCAGCTATCTGCTTTGAGGACTTGATAGGAGAGACAAGAACTGAAGACTCTTCTCTATCCCTCTGAACTACTTTTTAGTATACTTTCTTGATAGAAGTCCATTCCATATGCAATTATGCTCATCTGGTAACTGTATAAAAACTACTTGCCAGTCATCTAATTGAAAATGGATTTTATCTGCTTGTAATCCATACAGCACTGTTAACAGCACCCAAGTTGGCTATCTTCCATTCCACTCTGCTACTCTCCAATCTGTAAGTCCCTTATCTGTGCTTAATAGAAGGGACAAAGCCCAGAAGTAGTTAATGGGAGGAGTGTGGAACAAGGGTAAAACTACACAGTTTCTAGGGAAAATCAAGCTTATTAAGACCTTTCTAACAGAAAAGCCTTTTCTGATCCCCATCCTGCACCTACTACATCTTAGAAGATACCAAGAGGCTAGGAACTTTAGAAACCATTAGCACTTCCAACCAAAGAAATGAGCAAGATGGCTAGTCAGTGCCATTGTTGAACAGACAATAACCAGAAAGTAAGAGAGCGGGACTAAGGGGCTTAAGTCTAGAAGTTAAGAATAGATGTTCTTGTTAGCTTTTTCCTCTCCTGAAGATGGGAAACAACCTTAAGAGATACATACATGGACCCCCCCCCCCCCAAGGGGAAGTAGACAAGGATCTCTTTAGTAAGTTGGTAGCATGAGGGGATGGGGGAGGGTGGTAATGGTGTGGAGAGAAAGGGAACAGGAAGGACATGAGGGATTGGGAAATCTAGTTGGGTAATAAAGGACAAAGAGGGAGAGCAAGGAAAGTTACCTTGAAAGAGGGAGCCACTGTGGGGTTAGCAAGAAACCAGGCATTAGGGAAACTCCCAGGAATCCACAAGGATGACCTCAGCTAAGAATCTAAGCAGTCCTGGAGAGGGTACCTAAACTGCCCTTCCTCTGTAATCAGATTGATGACTACCTTGTCATCATAGAACCTTCAGCCAGTAACTGATGGAAGCAGATGCCTACATATAGAGGGTGCCCTGGTGTTCTGCCTCAAGTGATATGACAGACTTGACTCCCCATGGGAGGTCTCACCCTGAGGAGTGGGTGGGGGAGGGGAGGAAAGGTGGGGAGAGGGGAAGGACAGGAGGGAGAGGAAACTGGGATTGGTATATAAGATTTTTTTTAAAAAAGGTTCAAAAAAAATTCATCTCCCAATTTGGCACAATAGAAACTTGAGCCCTTTTCAGGAGCTTGAGTGATGAAAGATCAAATGTAAATGCCACACACTAAACTCTGCTCCCTGCCCCCCAATGTACCTAACATCTTTTTGGAGACTCTTAAGAGGGATGGTTGAACACTATGAGGTATCATGGGTATTTCGTAGACTTCTTCTTAAATCCTAACACTGATGGAGATGCCTTTATTTTGCAGATGAATAAAAAGTAAACTTAATCACTGCAAGCCTGATTAGACCTACGGGCATACACAGGGCTCACGATGGACTTTTTTCATGGGACTTGAGTGACTTCAGAAAGACGATTTCAGTAGCAGGGACAGTGCACGGAGATGATCACCTGTGTTTGGAGCTGGGCTCCTATCCCTACATGGGTCATTTTCCCACACAGTTAACATGGCACAGCATCACTGAAAAAGTCTTCTAACTTATGCCTCAGAATAAATTCACTGTTTGTTTTCTGCAGAAATATCAATAGTCAGGTAAACAAATTTATTGAATCCAACAGCAGATAACCTTCAAAATAAAAAACAACAACAAAAACAAAAAAATACTGTAGACATCAAAGACAAAAATGTGTATATCAAGTTAATATTCAGGGGCTATTTGAAGAGTGCAACAGTGCAGAGAATACAAAAGTATTACCTTTTGTCAAGTTTGTACAACCTCAGACATATGCTGGTCACAAACCAAGAGGGATCCACAAAGGTGGAGGGTCACATGAGCAGTGGACTCATCACCTCAGCGGCTTAAGACAGGATATGTGTGATATCAAAATTTAACCAAG